CCCGCCATGGTTCGCTCCGGCCGCCCGCCCACGCCGTACGCCGGCAGCGTAGCCGTGCGCCGGCAGCGTAGGCTTCTGCGGGAGGCGTAGCCTTGCGCGAGCGGCGCAGGCGTCCGCCAGTAGCGTAGACCTCCGGCGGCGGCGCAGGCGTGCGGCGGGGGCGTAAGCGTAGGGCGGTGTCGTGAATAGGCCGCTGGGCGCATGAGTGTGCGCTTTTGAGCAGGAGCGCGCCGGTCCTCGGTCGGCTCTCCGCAGCGGACGAGCGCACCGGGCAGTCTCCGGGGCAGGCCGCACCGCGCCCGGCCATGAGTTACGATCGCGCCATCACCGTCTTCTCGCCCGACGGCCACCTCTTCCAAGTGGAGTACGCGCAGGAGGCCGTGAAGAAGGGCTCCACCGCGGTAAGGCGGCTGGACCGAGGCCTGCGCCAGCCCGGGGATCCGGGCGGAAGTGGGCCGCGCGCGGGGCGGGAGCCTTGGGGAGGGCGCGGGCCTGGACCCCGCAGGGGAAGGAGCCAGGCTGCCCCTGGGCGGGGATCACGAGTCACTGCGCGCCCCCTGCCCCGTGGGAAGGGGAACCCGGCACGTCCACTTCCTCGGAACTCGCCGGGATGGGGCCGGGCTTCCCTGGAAGCGGCGGAGAGCGCTGGGCTGCCGCGTGCGCCCTGCCTTTCGCCCCGCGGCGGCTCCCGGACCCCAGGACTGGAGCTCCGGGAGCGGCGCCTTCTGGCTCGGGCGGCTTGTTTCCCGCGTCCCTGCGCTGATGGCCTCCTGGTCTCCGGGGTGGTCAGTGGGCCGGAGGGCTCTCCTTGTTAAGTGAGGCAGTGGCTGGAACCGAGCGCACAGAGCAGCGCGCTGCGTCCGGAGGGAAAACGAAAAGGGGCCTGCAAGCGTCAGGCCTTCGTGGCGGTTTTGTGCTGTTTGAGTGGCCAAGCCTGGACAGAGCGGCTGGTCAGTGGGTGGGAGAGGCAGCGTTCACAAACCAGACCCCACTGTGGGGGAGTGGACTGTACCTGCCTGAAGACCCGGGCTGCCCTGGAGGTGGGAGTTCGGGGCTGGAGGAGAGACACTGCCTTCGCTTCCTAACGCGGAGCTGCTGAGGGTGTCCCGCCGCCCTGGTGGTGGCGGTGGTTCAGGAGGACTTAGAGTGACCTTAGGGGCAGCAGATCGTAGCCCTGTCCTAGCGCTCCATTCTCAGGACCACTGCCCCAGGCGCAGTGCTAACCCACCTGCTAGAGGGGCGTCTTCCCATTTGCAGACCCTGCTTTGCAAGCTGGCTACCTTCCTCCAGGGACTGGCCTCTCCTAACAGATGCCCAGGGCCTGGGAGAGGAAGCTCTGTCATCCTTGCCCTCGGGAAGCGCTGCGGCAGCACCCTGTCCCGGACACACCGGCCATGGGCTGTGCGGTACTCTTCTCCAACACCGCCAGTCAGAGGCTTCTGTCATCCCTGTTCTCTGTCCAGCTGTCAGATCCGCCTGGCTAGCAGCCACTTACCCGCTGGCACAGGCTCTCTGCGCCATCTACAGCCTCTGAAAACCTACTGGAGGCTGGTAGGAGTCAGTTCTTACTGGACAGCAGTGAAAAAAGTTCCAAAGCCACAGAGGCTGCTGTGGGGGCCCAGATGGGGTGAGCCGCTGCCTTCTCCTCCTGTATTGGATGGCCAGTCCTGACCGGGCCATGCTGGCAGGGGGACAGCCATCTTGGCATGGTCACCTTTGCCCTGGGTGGGGTGGCATGGCCGGTGTGGCTCCTGCAGCTCCCTGGGTGCACTGGGAGACAGCTCTGAGCCCCAGGGATCCCTCCCTAGGGAAATCAGGGCCTGGAAGTACGCCCGGTGGCGCAGTGGCTGTAGTGCTGGGCTCAGGGCCGAGTTGCAGAGACATGCTCCCTCACACCTGCTTTCATGTCTTGAATCTCTGCGAGCCTCACCTGGTGACAAGTACTGGTGAGGAGGCAGCGTCTCCCGCCCCGGCCTGTGCTCTGCGCTGTTCTGCACCCACTTCAGTTGCTGGGTCTGAAGTGGGGGATCACCTTCCGTCTGGGGGTTTGGTGGTTAGGGCACATCTGGTCACAGGGTTAGTCAGGGCTCAGGTGGTGCCCCATACAGCACCCTCCAGAGCATCTCTGGGGCCCAGCTTGTCTGCTCTTGTCCGAGGGGCTTCCCTGGTGTCTGGTTTCATTGTATGCACAGTGTCAGCAGCTGAAGGGACATTTACCCTCAGAGTGACAGTGGACACAATGTCCACAGCTGTGCTTACTGGTAAGTTGATGGCTGCAGAAACACCAAACCCGGTCCCGAGCTCAGTGGAGGAGCCCTGGTGACCTGATAGCTAAATGTTCAGTCAGTAGAAAGTGCCCACTTGACAGCAGATTCTCAGAAGGTGGCCGGCAGGGAAGTACCATAAGGGTGACAGCCTCAAGACCACTGGCATGGGTCTCTTGTGTCCTCTGGGGTCACTGAAGACTGTGCTACACAGAGTGGTTTGATTCCTTAGATTATAATGATCATGTAGCTGTCCAGCGAGATGAAGGTCCACGGACACCGGGCTCCGCAGGCAGGGTGGCTGGACGTGCTCTCCCTGTAGGCCATTAATGCCCAGAAAGCAGGGTGTGGTGTTGGCCACTGCGGTCTTGGGGCGGCTCCTGGGAAGGTGTGCAGTGGTCATCTCGGTCTGGCAGAGAACTGAGTCTGTTGGTGTCTCTGGAAGGTCGGTGTTCGTGGCCGTGACATTGTTGTCCTCGGGGTGGAGAAGAAGTCCGTGGCCAAGCTGCAGGATGAAAGGACAGTGCGGAAGATCTGCGCTCTGGACGACAATGTGTGCATGGCCTTCGCAGGTAGGAGGCGGGGATAGCCCACCAGAGCGAGGGAGGGTCTCTGCCTAACATACCCCAAGTGGGGCTTTGATGAGCAGAAATTCACTCACAGGGTGCTGACCGCTGGGGTGAGGGATGGTCCCTCCCCTGCTGCCTTGACCTCATTCACAGGACGTAAAAAAACCTTCCCTGGTGGGGACCAACTGCAGCATCCAAGTGGGTGTGGGTCCTTGAAAGGCTGGCCGCAGGGCACTGGGACAGCGGAGCCTTGGGCTGCAGTGGCCCTACCCCTTGGGGCCAGCACTGCTTCTCTCTCCCTTCCCTGTCCTGTGGCCGTCAGGACCGGCTCCGGCCTGCACATGCTGCTGAGCTGCAGAGGGTGGGCCACGCTCGGGGGTCCAAGTTTGGGGTAGAATTGCCTCACGACAGGGCCAGCCCTAAGCAGACCGCCTGGGTGGGGTGGGCACAGTCCACCATCCTGCCCACTGCATGCCCAGCTGATGGTCACTTGGGTGGACGGGCTGATGTCCTGCAGGCCTCACCGCGGATGCCAGGATTGTCATCAACAGGGCCCGGGTGGAGTGCCAGAGTCACCGGCTGACAGTGGAGGACCCGGTCACTGTGGAATACATCACTCGCTACATCGCCAGTCTGAAGCAGGTCAGTGGGGGGCTGTGTCTGTCCTTGGGGTCACCTGGCTTTCGCTCCTTCAGCAGGGCAGGCCCCATGTCTCAGTGATTCCAGGGATCCCCACTGTCCAGAGGTGGCTAGTCACAGGTGGGACTTTATCAAGGAGTGGCCTTTCTGGGCGGCAGCTCTCACCCACCCCTCTCCTGGTAGCGTTACACACAGAGCAATGGACGCCGGCCATTCGGCATCTCTGCCCTCATCGTGGGCTTTGACTTCGATGGCACACCCCGGCTCTATCAGACCGATCCTTCGGGCACGTACCACGCCTGGAAGGTGAGTCCAGTTCTCCACAGCTGCCCCCTGCCTCGTCCCGTGTGTGTGAACGTTCTCGAGTTGGCAGGGGATGTGGTAGGGGTAATGAGAACACCAGATGTGGTCCCTCATTTTTGAGCTCACAGCAGGAGAAAGGGCGTGGGGGAGCAAGGTCCAAATCCCTGGTCACAGTACCTGTAGTGCAGGCAGGAAAGGCCAACTGATGACCCCCCATGCAGGGCTCTGAGGTGCACCTGTGACCATGTTGTAGGCAAATGCTATTGGCCGAGGGGCCAAGTCAGTGCGGGAATTCCTTGAGAAGAACTACACGGACGAGGCTATTGAGACGGATGACCTGGCCATCAAGCTGGTCATCAAGGCCCTCCTGGAGGTAGGTTTGCCTGCTGTGGAGAACGGCTGTGTGTGAAGTGGCTGGCACACTCCTTCTGCGGCCATGCAGGAAGGTGGTGAGCCCGGGCTCAGGCGGGAAGATGGCACATGGACACAGGCCAGCTGCCCACACAGAGCCGTCACCAGCATTAAGCTGCTGTGGAAACAGGGACAAAGGGCTGTTCGGGATGGGGGTGGTGATGAGAATGGCTCTGTGGGGCAGGGGTCACCATGTGAGCAGGACAGGAGGGAGGACCTCATGTCCCTTCAGGGCAGAGTTTGATGTGAGACTTGGGTTGGGGCACACGGTGACCTGGGATGTCTGTGAGCACTGGCTATGTAGGAGGAAGGCGCAGTGCTGAGGCCATTTCTCATCCCTTCAGGTGGTCCAGTCAGGCGGCAAAAACATCGAGCTGGCAGTCATGCGACGAGACCAGCCCCTCAAGGTAAGACCCTTCCCCCCTCCTCTGCCTGTGTTCAGATGGGAACCATTCCCAGGTGGTGTACTTGCTCAGTCAAGGTGTCAGGCCACCTCACCCCAAGAAAGTGGGCCCCTCTTCCCACCGGTACAGGGGTCCCTCAGCAGGTGCAGGTACATATCCTGCTCCCCTCTGGCTGCAGGAGCAGGCAGCCCGATGGCCTGGGCCAGGAGTGCCAGCACAAGGGTCAACTGGGCCCTCTTATTTTGTAGATTTTAAATCCTGAAGAAATTGAAAAATATGTTGCTGAGATTGAAAAGGAGAAAGAAGAAAATGAGAAGAAAAAACAGAAGAAAGCAGCTTCATGATGAGCAGCCCCTGCTGTGAGTTTAACCTCAGTGAAACGTGGGCCCATTCCAGGACAGAGTGCAACAATAAACACGTTTTTTAAAGCTCTCTTCTTTTCCTTAAAAGAACCAGGTTTTGGGGGTATTAACTGGCTTTGTCACAGGCTGCGGGCACACCCAGTAGGGTGTCTGAGCTCTGCTGAACCTTGTCAGGTTCCCAGTCAGGTGTAGGGCCTCCAGGACTAGCATGAAGGTCCCCCCACCTGAGGTGGTCTGTGCATGACCATCACATATTGCTTTTCCAGTTTCTGGTTTTAGTTGCATCTTTGTGTCACAGCACATGGGCGCACCTGCCTGACTTGCTTAGACGTGGGGTCTCCCTCCCCTTCTCAACATGTTGGCTTCTCATGGTCCCACAGCTGTTCTGTGGTGACCTTGAGCCTTCATGAAGTACTTCGGGGACTTCTCTTCCCCTTCCTGGCCCAGGCCCTCCCCTCCATGTCCAGTACATGTCCAGCACCAGTTCTTGTCCTGGCTGTGCAGTAGGGAGAGTGTGATAGTCATTATTTCACCAGCACCATCTTGCCTGGTGCTGGGAGCTGCCAGAGGCCCTGGCATGGCTACTGGTTGAGGAGCGCACCTGGATGGCACACAGAGCACCTTGTAAGTTAGGCTCCTAACCGCGAGGTTTGTAGTTCAAGTTCAGCAGCCATACTACAAGACAGATGGGCAGAAGCCTCAAAGTCCAGAGGCTCTGCGAGTTACAGCTGGCTCCAGAGTCAAAGATGGTCGCTCTCCCAGTAAGTCTAGTCTGGGGCTTGGCCCACATCCCATGACTTCAGCCAAGGGCTGGGCTGGAGGCAGTGACTGTCCCCAGGCCAAGTGGCAGCTCCCGGACCACGGCCTCAACAAGGTGGACCTGGCTGACTTAGGCTCCTAACAGGCAAGGATCTGTACATCCCTCCTGAGGCCACCTCAAGCCATCACCTGAGACCCACCAGAGTTGGCATGGTGTCCTCTAGAGCAAGGCCATCTGCTATGCCACATGGTGGCCCGTGAGGGGGATGGCCCCAGAGCACACAGCCCTGGAAGGTGCTGCTGCCTCTGAACCAAAGTGGGTGTGTGTCAGGCTTCCCGCTAGCACGTGAGCCAAGTAGCAGGGGGCTGCCAGCTCTTGACCACATCAGACGAGAGAGCAGCCTCCAATGTTTGCATGTTTATTTATAATTACAATGTACATGACTCCAACAGGGCAGCCTCAGCACTTCGTCCTAACTTTGAACCAGAAAATCCTACAAAAATAAACCCAGGCTTTACAGGAACATAATTGATAACCCACAACTAAACCTATAGCTACTCGAAAGGGGTTTGGTTACCAAGGTGCCTGTTAACAAAAATGCCCCAGCCGAGGGGCATGCTACGCTAAGGTCTGACCTAATCATGCAACAAGTTTATCCACCCGCCCACCCTCCACCCACCAGGAGAACAAAACAACTATTTACATTGACAAGAGGAGCTCTTGGGTCAGCTGACCTTGCAAAAGACTGGCTCACTTCCAACGTGGACGCGGGTGCCTGGCCACTGCAGGGACCGGGCAGGAGTCTCCTGAGCTCCAGCCGCAGCCCTGATGCCACCAGAGGCAGCTGTACACCAGCTAAGGAGCCGTAGTCACGGCTGGCCTTGCTGCTGGACTCCAGCCTTGGCCAAGTGCTTGTTTGCTTCCCATGATCACCCACCCATGCCCATTCCCCCCCTCAGCTGGCCCTCCACCAGGGGCCCTGCCCTGGGCACTGGAGTGACTGGCTAACACTGAGGATGGTCACAAACAGGCCACTGCATCTGCAAAACTCAGTTTGGTTCCACGTCAAAAGTCACCAGTGAGGAAACCATCCTGCAGCCAGACCAAGGGTCAGCTAACTTATGTGCACGGAGAAAGAGGCTGGTCGCCTCAGAGCCGTGGCCCCACACAGCAGCAGGTTCAGCCACACGCCAAAGTCCCAATCAGGCAGGAGGGCAGAAACGGCACAGGAATCGGGCTGACCAAGTCTCCCAGAGAAGCAGGCGGCTTCATCCACGTGTCCTCACGTGCACGGTCCTGTCCTGTGCGGCCACAGCGGAGCCTGGGAGACTGACAGGACAAGGGGCTGACGGCCACAGCATGTGCGCCACCTCAGGCACCAGCCCAGGGCAGGACAGCGGCCCTCTCACCACCCAGCCCCCGGGGACCTGGGCCTGCCCCCAAACACCTGCACTTTCCACATGCTCCCAGATGTGGGGACTCCCAGACTTGAGACTTTGCCATTCAGAGAAAAAGAGCCTCCCACTCCTCGAATGAAATGCTTCCATGAAGGACCCCGAGTCCCTCCCCCGAGAAGCCTGCAGGACGGGCCAGGGATGTGCCAGCACTCACCTTGGGACAGTGCCCTCACACCCGGCCAGTCCCAGCTCTGTGGGTGGTGGGGTTGCGGCGAGCTGTGCCACCAGTGCCTCGGCCCCCTCGAAATCCACCCCGGAAACTGCGTCCACGAAGGAACCTTCCTGACACCCCGAAAGTCTCTGTGTTGAGCTTCCTCTCCTCGGCCCACGTGGTTCGCCTGGAACTGAACCCCAGGGGAGCGCTCAGCATTGTACTCAGCTGGACACACCCTCTCCCCCGCCCCCAACAGGCCACCTCCTAGCCACAGAAGGGGCTACCCCACCTCAGACCGGATTCCCACACTTGGGAGTCAGGGAGTCCTGCCTGCTCTCGGGTAGGACCACCAGACAGCCCAGGTGAGGACTAGCTGGACATAGTGCTGCTCAGGGTGGAGGAAGATGGGACACAGCACCAACACCCTCACTCCCACCCACCCGCCCCTCCTGGAGCCCGGCTCAGCCTGCCAGCAGTGTGGCCACACTGCAGATGTCCGTCCCCATAACTCCTATGGGCAGTAGCATGCAGACCCCTCTCCCACTGTCCAGACAAACCAGGACCACGAAGACTTTGGGCCCACCATATAGCCCCTCAGTCTCCCCATCCTTGGCCTTGTCCCCAGCCCAGGACTCCCGGAGTACTGCAATACTCCCACCAGACATCTCTCAAGGATTCGAATGGGACCCACCACCCCTCAAGCCCGTATCACTCAGTTCACTCAGCTTCCTAAATTCTTAAGTGCCAGAGACACCCTGCCCACTCCCTCATCATCGAGTTTCAGCTGTCCCCCCCCCCATCTTTACCCCGAGGCTTCTCTTAGGGACCCTACTTGAACACACGTTAGGTGCTGAGAACGTGTGCCCCTTGCACTCCTTGCCAGGAGAACCCAAGGCTAGGCTACTAGGCAGTTCTGCAGCCGCTGGCTGGGTGTCTCCCAGCAGAGTAGCAGGAGGTGGCCCTGGCCTCGTCAGATCCCTGCAGCGGCTGTGGCGGGCACCTTGAGGACCACCTGCACCTTTGTCTGCTCCCCTGCCTGGCCAAGCTGACCTGGTCTTGAGCTCTGAGGAGATGTTGTCAAAGAAGGATTTGGACTTGTCGTAGTAGCAGTTGGGGCCCAGCAGGTCTTCCTCAGCTGGGGTCTCATCGCTCGGGGTAACCACGGCAGGGTCTTTCTCTTCTCCTTTCTCAGCTTTCTCGTCTAAGAAAGAGGCAGGAACCACTGAGAGGCAGCAGGCAGGGATGCACCCGGCAGCCATGAGTAGGTCACTTTGGTGCTGTCCTCAGTCTCTTCTCCCAACTGCCCACTGGGGCTTTCCCACCCCCTCCTTCTCAGGTCCCTTCCTACAGGGACAGTCAGTTTTTATTTAAGAGATCAAACCTTTGAAGTTGAGCTTCTTCTTAAACTCCTTGTCCAGCTCCTCTCGGTTGAACTGGGCATTTGCGGTTTCAAAGTCAAAGTCACCCTCGAACTTGATGGTATTCTCCTTGGCACTGGTTGGGCGGTTCTGCCCTCTGGAGCGATTCCGTGTCCGCCGGTTCCCTGGGGAAGGAGGACAGATGCACCCAAGTAAGCCCAGGCAGCCACCATGGAGGGTGGATTCCATGCCGAGGACTAGAGGCACCGCCAAGCTACCCAGGGCCTGGGTCAGCACATGTGAGCATACAGGCACGTGTGTGCCCATCCGCACTGGTCACCCAGCAGGCAGCAACAAGCCGTGTAGCTCAGCACAGCCTCTGGCCCCCAGCCTGCAGGTGGCAGCTCTACCTGATCTCCGCCTCTGAGGTCTTCGATTCTCATCGTTGACTTGCCCTTGGCTTTGCACAGTTGCGGGCTGAGCCAGGTCTAAGGCACAAGAGGAAAGATTAAGATGAAGTCTCTCCAGAAAGCCCCAGCTCAGCGACATAAGCACCCGCCACCACACCCACAGGGCCCCCCACTGTGCCCGGCCGCTGTACAGGGTGGGAATGGATAGGCACAGGGCCTGGCCTGTTAAGGAAGCCTGCCAAAACCTCTAGACCATGCTGGGAAGCAACCAGTACCACTGGAGGCCTTGCTGATTGGCTGGGCCTGGCGAGCACTGAGCTGCACCGAGGGGCCCTTCCCAGGCAGCAGCTTCTTGGCACCGAGGCTGTCAGCGGGGCCAGTCTGCACGGCTTGCTCCACCATGGGGCTCTTGCCAACTGAGACGGAAGGGAAACCAGTGCCTGGGTCGGGAGGAGGATCTGGATCAGAGAAAAGCATGCCTCATAGCCCAAGAATACTCTTCAAGAGAATGCACCCCCACAGGCCGGACTGCCCCAGACCAGTCCAGGTACGCTGGCCGACAGCACCAGCAGGCACCACGGCCGGTCATCTCTGGAACAGCTCTTCACCCCCAAGCACTGCAGCAGGCAGCCTTGGGGGAGACAACTCTGCCTCTAACAGCCTCCTGTTAAAATGAACTAGCTTTCCTCCAGCCGCTCCCTCTGTGACCAGCGGGAGAGGCTATGGATGAAGGAACCCAGAACTGCCGGCTCCTTGCTATACCTGTGCAAATAACCAACGCCGCCAGCAAAGTTCTAGAAAACAGCAAGGAACACAAACACATGCGACAGCTTGTACCTCAAGCCTTAAAAAGTAAGGAGACACAAGACTGGACTTGAGAAAACTCGGTGGCCTCAGCCACAGACGGCCAGCCAGCCCTCTAGGTCCATGGAGACAGAGGTCCCGGCTCAGGAGACCATCCTGAGCCACAAACGGTGGCCAGTACACTCGGCAGCCGGCCACAACACAGCCGCCCAGGTGCTGGAGCCACTTCTCACACTGGATGGAACCAGCCATGCCACAAGGGACATCCTCCCGTGTGCCCGGGCGTGCTCTGCTCCCTCACCCCACCCCCATGCGGGCGTGCACTGTGTTGTCACTGTGCCCGCCCACCCCTCGTGCGTGCTCTGTTGTCGACCGTTCCCCCTCCCCGCCACGCAGACGTGCTCTGGCCTGGCAGCCCTGGTGCTCAGGGCACACTGAGCCTGCAGCTGCCTCGCACACAGAGCACAATGCGTCAATTCTTTAGAAGGTCAGCCCGGCTTGATTTTTTTTTTTTTTTTAAATTAAATCTCTAAAAAGCAAAACTCTCCTCACTGCTATTATCCTTCCTGACCTGTGGACCGCACAGCGAGTCCCACTGTAGGAACCCGGAGGCTCTAAGCTTTTAGGACTGCAGCATCTCTTCCAAGGTGCTAAGGAGTTCAAACAACACTCACTGCATCCCAATAGCTTTTCACTGGTAAGTCTAGTGACAGATGTGTGTCCCAACGGTGGTAGGCTTGGAGCAGAAAACACACAACTCCTTCTGTAAATGTGCTATCATCAAAAGGCTTGGAGGCCTTTCTAAGGCTCTCCTAAGCTTTCAAAAATTTCATTTTGGGTCTATGGAATGTGCTGCGGCCCCTCAGCAGGGCCCACAGACACCATCAGCCTGGTGCACTCTATCCTGCTCTTGGGAGCTTCACGAGACGGCATATAGGGGTACTTCACATACCCTTGGATGAGAGCTGGTGTGATTCCGAGGACACATCCAGCTCAGACACAGGCTGTGGAGACGGAGAGGAGCTGGGGCTGGAGGCAGCGGCTGAGGCTGGGGGGCTCACCAGCTTCTCTGAAGGTAAAGAAAGAGAGGGCGGTGTAAGTACCATGGGCCAGGTAGAATGCTCCACACACAGGTTCACAGGCAAGGGGAATGCACCAGACACGTTCTTCCCACATCGGGGGGTCGGGTGGCCATGACCCTGTGCTGACAGGGCCCTGGTGCCATTTCTCCCACGCACACCTTGAGGGTGCACTCTGGCCAATCTCACAAGGTTCCAAACTTGTTTTCACAACGTTGCTGCACACCTGTCAGACAACAGCGTTGCAATACTGTTCTTATACCTAGGAATCAAAATCTCTGCCTTCGAGTCACTGCAGGAGCCCCTCTGCGGCAGACTGGAACCAAGCCAGTCGGAGTCAGCTCTAAGTGTGCTCCTGCCCGCCCTGGTCCAGCAAGTCCACTGAGAATCTGGATAGGACACACCCACACCATGTATTTTGGAAATACCAGGAACAGCAAGTCAGACGAGCCATCTGGAGGCCTGATCACAGAGCACCCTGCCTTTGCATCCCCTACCCACACATGGATGGGGTGCCCCCCCAAGGACACAGGCAGGAAGCACCTTGCTCAGGAGCGACCCACCATGACTGAACCTCACAGCTCATTCAAGGACATGAGAGCTGAAGGAGCCGACAGGCCTGTGGGGCAGGGCTCACAACCACCACGCACCAGGTGGAGCTGCGGTGCCTCTGCCGGCACCTCCGCCTGATGTAGCCAGCATGCTCCTGACCGGTACTATCTCACAGTCAACCAGAGGGGAACACATGGTCCTGCTGTCACACAGTGCAGCCTGCGTCCTTGTGGTCACACAAGCAGACAGCTCAGACACAAGTTACTCACCGAGGCCCAGGGAGGCTGCATACTGCTGGCTGAGCAGGGAGCTGGCGGCCAGTTGGCTGTAGGGTGGCATCCCTCGGAAGGGGCTGTAAGGCACATGGGGCTGGAAGGATGATGCTGAGGCCGAGCTGAGGGAAGACTGGACAACGAGAAGACAGTCAGACGGCAGGATGGCTGCTGCCCTGCGCTGAGTGCTTTCGACATGCTCCCCCACGTGCCTCCTGAACTCTCAACACCTGAGGTTTGCAGGGTCGGAGCCAACTCCCACAAACCTCCTCCCCAGCTCCACCTGCCCTTATGGATCCACCAGAAACTGCCCCAACACAGCCCCAACACACACACACACACACACACACACACACACACACACACACACGCTGCCCCGCCCTCACTGCCACCAGAGCCTCAAAACAAGGTAGGCCTACTCCATCTCCAAGCTCTGTGCTGCCTGCACCCCTACACACAGGACCAGAGTATACATGACAGGAGAACTATGTGCAGCCCACTGAACCAGGTCCCTTCTGCCTGCCTGCCCCCACGCTGCCCTCACCAGGCCTGTCCACTGTTTTCTGCCCCCTTTCCTTAGAAAACCCTCCTCTGCCCTTTCAGCAGCCTGCCCCAGGTGTGCCTCTTGTGGCCTCTTCTAGGTGAAACATCTTATGAATCCAGGGGAACAATGACATTAACAAGTATAGAAACCAGGGCCAGGAACGTGGCAAAGCATGCTAGTGGAACACAGCAGGGAAGCACATGGCGTGAGGCTAGCAAACTCGGATGTCCCAGATGTAGATTCAACATTAGAATGGCAGTAACAGACCACAACCTGCCACCCCTGCTGGGCCCTCATACTCCTTACAGCAAGGCTATTTTCTGCAAAATGGGGCTGATACCACTCCCGACACACCTAAGCAGCACACAAGGGCTGCTGAACCCACACCACCCAGTGAAGGGCAGAGTCCAAGAGAAAGGACATTTCACAGCTGAATGACAGACCCTCTCAAACACACACACAGAAACAGGACAGACTCACATATGGAGACCCTCCTGCATGACTGCCACCCCTGGAGCCCCAACACACCCCACTTGCTGGAAGCCTCATCGCATCAGCCCACTGAACGATAAAGACCCCCCTCGTCACCTGGACAATAGCAGGGTCCTGAGGGAGTGTGTGCTGTGCTTTCGGGGGTTCACACACAGTGATGTCTTTGATGTCACTGCCCCGGAAGATGATGTACTCGTAGATTTCCTCCCTGGGGGGAGCAGGCCTGTCTGTGGGGCGGTCTTCTGTCCCGAAGGACCTCACTGGAGTAGTGAGAACACAAGCATTAGGGCAGGTGAAGCAGCTTAGCAGCCGGCACCACTCCCACATGTCAGCATCCTGGCCCATCAACGTCCAGCGTGGCATCTGCAGCACTCAGCCTGTGCTCTAGAACGCATACTGACCACAAGGACCACCCCAGTTAAGGACAGACAGCTGGCTTTGCCCACCAACCCGCCTGCAAGCCGCTGCTCAGGAGAGAACAGGGCTCCTGCCACCTCCCAACGCCAGCCTAGACAGCGTCCAGGGGACAGAGATCCCCGAGTGATGCCCCATACTGTCTCCAAGGGGAACCCCAACTTGAGGCTCCCCAGGGACAGCCTCAAGCAAGTCCTGAAGCCCCATGTCCACTTGGGGTGCTGTGTGACAACAGCCTGGCTGCACTGAGGACACGCCAAGGTTTGGGGTGATGGGAGTTCAGGTTTGGGTGAACAGGACCCCACACTGGGGGAGGACAGGTCCTCTAAAGAGCCTCAGGAAAGAGTGTCCAACGGGACAGGGGCTGGACTGGCAGATACCAGCTGTGCAAACCCCAGTGAACCCCAACTGTCCTCGGTGAGCAGACGCTGTCACTGGCAGGCGGGGCAGGCGGGAGCCCCACGGCTGCGATGATCGATGATCGTTTGTGCTGTTTGCTTGGCCTCCAGACTCCAGATGCTTAATAGGTTCCAGCAGAGCAAGGCCCCTGGTCCCGCCTCTCCCACAGGGGCCGGCCAGCTGTCGCTCAGATCCCCGAGGATCACGGCCCCCCAGATCCTGAGCTGTCCCTCCATGCACAGCCCCCCAGATCCCGGGGTCTCCACCCGCGGTCAGTAGGTGGTCCGTGCACAACGGGCAAGCGGGGAGAGGCCATTGTGCGGCCGGTAGGCACCCCGAGTCCCACCGACAGGGCGCTGGGGTGAAGGAGCAGACAGAGACCGAAAGTGACCATGGAGGACCGCGGGCGGCAAGCCATGGGGTGGGGGTCGGGCCGGGGGTCCTGGTCGAAGGAGGCGTGCTTCCGCAGAGGGAGGGGTCCGCGAGAGAAGGTCC